CTAAATAACATTAACACTGTTTATTTGACTGTGAACAATGCTGTACTTTGATAGTAATTGGCTGCTAATATGATTTTGCTATTTTGAGTTTGCAGATAATACTTTTATTAAGTTATATTATTAAGGCAAAAAGTCTGAATGTGTCAATATAAAACCAACTTTACCTCTATCTCAGTCATTTGATCCTCATTCAGATATATTTTAATAATAAGAACACCAAATTAAATCCATCTTGCAGCCCTGAGTGTGCTGCCTAGTTCTCCTGAATGCACATAAGCACTCATTGAAAGACAGGAATGAGTTTCTTTTGTCACTTATTCTCATGTCTTTTGTCATTATTTTATGTATTATTAGTCTCCCATTTAGTACGCCTCAGAACGCTTATGGGCGCACAAATGAGCGCTAATGCATTTGCTATAAAAACGCCTCAAAACCACTCTTGCGCCAAGCTGATACTAGCAAAGGACTATTACGCCGCACCTTGCGCTACATTGCGCTGGGTGTATGATAAGGCCCTGAGTCTTCTTTACTTTACTTTACTGTAAACATGACATCGTCTTCATTTTGTGTTATGTGGATGGCTAGTGGCCTAAACGAATCCGGTAGTCCTCGGAGAACCATCGCTATGGTTAGTCCATCACTCATTAATTCTCCAGCATTCCTTAGAGCTGTAATGTTGTTTTCTGCTCGTATCAAATAGTCTGTAACGCTCTTACTGTCACTCGTGCAGCTGAGTCAATGCTGTGTACATGTTTATTATGCGTGGTTTACTTTTGCCTGAATAATGCTCTTTCGGTATTTTTAGGGCTTTTCTCCTGTCATCGGCTGCATCGTGTCTACCAGTCATAGGCTTTTATCATTGATCAGTTCAGCATAACAATCAGTGTTCTTCCGCCTGTCCTCGGCTAGTTGCTCTGCTTCAGCATCAGTAGGCTGATGTAATATAGTTTCTTTTAGCTTCAGAGTGTGTAAATATCCTAGAAATTTCGGCTCCCATAGATCAAATTTTTCTTCTGATCCATCGAACATAAACTGCGGCGCTAGATATCCTCCCGCTCTGCTTACCATCTTTGCTTACTTTGCACCTGAATACAACGTGTTAACTTCGCTTTCTTAAAAACGATCGCTTGTCTCGCTGCCTGGGCCCATAACCTGTTGAGCTTGGAGTGCGTAGCTTAGGCACTAGACAGAACGAATCATTTTATCAGCGTCTTTTATTACTCACTTTCACATGCTCTCTCTGTACAGCATGAACACGAGACGGTAACACTTCTGCTTATCAACAGTATAACGTGGAGACTAGAGCTGCAACAACGAATCGATTAAATCGATAAAAATAGATTATTAAAAGCGTTGGCAACGAATTTCATTATCGATTCGTTTGTTTCAATTATGCAGCATTTTAACTGCCTAATAATTCATTTATGTTTTAGATATGTAAATACACACAAGTACTAGTAAAACAAGACATTTAGTTTGTAAAACACACAAGAAAGTCTAACAATCCATTCAAATATAAATTGCCGATGTGTTTATTCATATCAGATACACATTACACATAGTGAAAGTAACTATAAAGTTGAATCTAGGCTTTTCTAAGTTCACCAAACATTTACTTGCATGTATTTTTGGAGTAACTTATGAATGTACCTGCTGAATCCTGCGTGTTCTGCTTTTATGAATGAGGCAGCGGCCGCAAGTAAACATGGAGACGTCCATCTCATGTTATAAATCACGATTACTTGCACGTTTATGTGAATTGGAATATCAGGTAGTTGATGGCATGATGAGCAAGTGTGTGAATGTTATCTTTTTTGGATCATTAATTTTTCCATCTGTTGTCATGTATAGCTGCACTGCAGAAAACATTTCTTTCTTAATCATTTTGTCTCGTTTCCAGTTCATATATCTAAAAAAATATTACATCAAGACCAGACAAGAAAAATAGCATGAGAAAACGAAGTGATGCTGTTTGAGATTATATCTTATTAAGATAATTTTTTTCACCCCATTGGCAAATAATTAGCTTGTTTTAAGCAAACTATCATTAAAGTTTGAGGTTAAGTGATTTCTTATGGAATTTCATGTGTCTAGTAAGTATCTTCATTTAAAAACATTTACATATTTGGATTGAAAACAGTTTATTATTATTATTATTATTATTATTATAGGCATGAGCTTTTTTGAATAAAGGGTTGGAAAGGGCTTTTTTTATCCGATTAATCGAAAAAATAATCAACAGATTAATTGATTATTAAAATAATCATTAGTTGCAGCCCTAGACGTTAAACACGTAAACAACATGATGTCATCACTACAGTACCGTAATCCACTGAAACATAATTATGAACCCTTCAGTGATAAATATTAATACAATTAGCAAGAGTGCCAGTTAGGGATGTAACTGTATCAGAATTTCATGGTACGATAATACCTTGGTATGAATGGCACGGTACGGTATTTATTGAATAATTTACAGGAAAAACAAAACTACTTAAAACTACTAAGACTCGAAAAAAGTGCCAAAAGTGTTTATTTACCTTAGCACTGAACATATCAATGACATACAAATTAGCCATCTATCTGTAAGTTTCGAAAGAAGAACTTCAATTTTTCAATTTTAATAACAAAAAACTATTAAACCATATTAAAAAAAAATAAAGTTTCAATTTAGTATTGTTGAAAACTCATCACATTCACCATTTAATCACTCACTCACTTAGATAGAGATGGGTTTTTTAAGAAAAATTATCATATAACTATAATCTGGTAAAAGCTGGGATCTCTGGGCATGTCCCCGGCAACAGAAGAAAAAAAAAAAACCTCTCATTTGGGACTGAGGTTTCTGGGACAGAGAGATATGATTTAGCCAAGGTTGACAGCAGTGGGTATCGTTGTGCATTGTCTCTCCACCACTTGAGAGGACAAGCCATGAGTGAGATAGAGGTCTCTTTATGGTACAAGTCAATGTCTGCATCAATCTAACAAGTGTGCTGTGTTCTGCAGTCACCATGACTGTCTTTAGTCGTATTCCCCGACTTATATTTTACCATAGTCTGGCAGTGCCTGCATACTGTTTTTTTCTTTGTCTGTCACCTTTTCTCCTTTATCGTATCTTTTTAGAAAGAAACCGAATTTTTTCCACACATCCGATTTAAAACCCGCTTTAGGTTTGATCATTTCCAGCTCTTTTTCTTCCCCTCTACTAGCAACACACTCCATCTCCACGTTACTGGATCTGTAGTAACAACAGACCGGAAAGAATGATGGCCACACCTAGGCTGATGGGAATTGTAGTTCCCGCTACCTCCCGTTCGCTTAATTTTCCTAAGCAAACTTTTCTCAGAAATATAGTTTTATTGAGTCATGCGCCTACGGTAATATTGAAAACAATTACTAATGCGGTATGACGGTATTTACAATATTGTTACATCCCTAGTGCCAGTACTTTAATACAAATAATACGCGGTTATCACAGGTAATCCATAATAGACATTGGAGAAAACTCGCACCAAAGGCATGATTGTGTCCGGATCCAATATTATCGCTTAGACAAGAGAAGAGGAAAGCCAGCGCAACAGGTCAAATGTACAAATCTATACAATTCTCTGTATAGTGAAATAGTGGCTCGTGTGCTGTGCAGCCTTCACTCACCCTCGCCTCCGTCCTAGTATTGCGACATCGCGCAGTGGAGATAAATGACGTTAGTATGTAATAACCTATTCCAATATCGATTATTTTGACACCCCTAGTAACGAGTAACGATGCAGCACATAAAAAGTTTATCGAAGTAAAAGTATTAAACTTATTGAAAATATGTACTGAAGTAAAAGTTTAAGTAGGAGAAAAAAAATAATACTTCAGTAAAGTACAGATACTGCCTTTTAGTAATTAAGTACAGTAGTGAAGTAGTTCTACTCCGTTACTATACATCTTTGGAATGGTGTACATTCCAGCCTTTATGCAGATGTTGTACAGATATGTCTCATGTCTGAGAGGTAAATATTCAGCTGTTTGTTCGGCTGTTACCTCAGAACTTTTTTTTTCTGATGCGTTAGCCAGTCAGGCACAGAATGAAAAAGTATTCCCTGTCATTTTGTTGTAATTATAAATATATACAAATAAAAATAGGCCATTAACAGTGTAACTACCCGCTGGTTATTAAACAGTCCACGCTTCCAAATACTGATGTCCACCATGCGTTTCATTTATTGAACACCGTGAAGACTGCACAATCAACACAATCAAAAGGACATCAAAATAAACAAATAATACATAAAACAATGTTTAGTTTACCGTGTTGGCCTGATAACCAGCTGTAGAATAAGCAGGAGCATTAAACAGGTGCTTGCATTGAGATCTCACCATCCTGAGTGACCATACAAACTCTTGCAGGTTAAATCAATCAATGAGAATCATGTGACTTTCCACTCAAGCCAACCGGAAACAAAGAAATTAGTAACAAACATATACCAATACACATTCATATAATGAAATTCAAAACAATAAACAAAATTACAAGCTGACCAATCAGCGTCAGCTACAAACAGCTTTCAAATCTGTGTCTTATTAATATGACCAAAAATACTTTTATGAGAAACTTGGAAAACTGGACTGACACGGTTTCAATTTACTATAACTTCTATGTTAAGTGTCTTTGACAGAATTCACATTGTAAAAACACTAGATAAATGAAGATGATTGGAATCTGCTTAAGTGTGTACACGTTAATGTACCAAACAAACTATGATCTGATTTATTTTACATTTATCATGCATCAAAATTACATTGTGTGTGTGTTTTGTTGACAGTTTTTAAGACTTAATGAAAACTAACGTTTATTTATTTATTTCAGACCTAATTGAAGAGAAGGAGGGGAGTAAAGAGGAGGAACATCATGTCAAAATTGAGGAAAAAACTCATTTACAGACTGATGGTATATTGAAAAGGAGAGACAAAAATTGTTTCTTTTGCACTCAGTGTGGAAAGATTTTGGCAAGCAAAAGCAAACTTAAGATTCACATGAGCATCCACACAGGAGAGAAACCATTTGCATGCACTCAATGTGGGAAGAGTTTCAGCCTATCATCATCCCTTAATCTACACATGAGGATCCACACTGGAGAGAAACCATTCACATGCACTCAGTGTGGGAGGAGTTTCAGCCACTTATCACCTCTTAATAAACACATGAGGATCCACACTGGAGAGAAACCATTCACATGCACTCAGTGTGGGAAGAGTTTTAGCTTATCAACATCCCTTAATCTACACATGAGGATCCACACTGGAGAGAAACCATTCACATGTACTCAGTGTGGGAGGAGTTTCAGCCACTTATCACCTCTTAATAAACACATGAGGATCCACACAGGAGAGAAACCATTCACATGCACTCGGTGTGGGAAGAGTTTCAACTGCTCATCAAACCTTAGTAAACACATGATGATCCACACTGGAAAGAAACCATTCACATGCACTCAGTGTGAGAAGAGTTTTAGGATATCATCATCCCTTAATCTACACATGAGGATTCACACTGGAGAGAAACCATTCACATGCACTCAGTGTGGGAACAGTTTCAGCCAATCATCATCTCTTAATAAGCACATGAGGATCCACACTGGAGAGAAACCATTCACATGCACTCAGTGTGTGAAGAGTTTCAACCGATCAGAACACCTTAATCTACACATGAGGATCCATACCGGAGAGAAACCATTCACATGCACTGAGTGTGAGAAGAGTTTTACCTGCTCATCACACCTTAATCGACACATGAGGAAACACACTGGAGAGAAACCATACGCATGCACTCAGTGTGGGAAGATTTTCAGCCAATCATCACGCCTTAATCTACACATTGTAAGCCACAACGGAGAGAAACCATGACCTACGAAACTCTGACGGACTCTGACCTGCGAAATTGCATCACTTGACTGTGTGAGACCAATCGAAGATCAAAACATGACCTCTCTGGACCGAAATTTAAAAAAATGTACCAATCGCACACTGTTTTTAATCATCTTGTTTGTTCCCGCTCCTTTTCGCAATGCCGTACAACAGAATTTTGCAGCTTCGGTGTGGGATGAGTTTCAGCACATCCTCAGACCTTAATAAACGCATGAAGACCCACACTGGAGAGAAACCATTCACATGAACTTAATGTGGGAAGAGTTTTAACCGATCAGCAAACCTTAATGAACACATGAAGATTCACACTGGTGTGAAAGAGTATATGTGCTTTGAGTGTGAGAAGGCTTTTATTATAAAATTGAAACTGCACCAGATGTTTTACACTTGAGAGACCATACAAGTGTTCACACTGTGACGAAAGGTTTAATCAGTGAACACATCTGAATCACACAAAAGAGGATTCACACTGGAGAGAAACTGTACATCTGAAATCTGATGTGTCTACAGAATTGGACAAACAGTTGCACACATTACATGAAACACACAAAACATTTTGTCATGTAGGGATGTCCTGATACAACATTTTAACTTCCGATACGATACCGATATTGCAGCTTTCAGTATGAACCGATACCGATATATATCCGATATCAGCACAAATCATGAATACTTTACTTTTTTAATTTTATAAAATATCTTAATTGAATAAACAAAAATACATTTTTAAAGTGCAAAATGCTAATTAAAGGTCATTTCAGTTTTTTTATCATCAGCAAATAGTAGAAAAAGCTGAGAGCAGGAACATATGAAAAAAATATTGTTAATTGAACAACTGTTAAAGGTTCAGTGTCCAAAGTGTCGATTTCAAACACAGCTTTTTGATAAATTTTTGTTCCAGTTGAGCTGAAAAATATCTTTCAAACTGGGCTTCAGAAATAAGTTATTGTTAAGTTAATAAAAATGTGCAGTATGGTTAGTACAAACCATAGGTTAGTTGTTTGTATCATAAGAACATTATGGCTGTATCAATGTTCCCAAACATTATTAATTTTATAATAATATATATTTCACATATTATCTTTAAAATAAATATACATGCAGAAGCTGAATTGAAACGCACATTTTCTCCACAGCACATACAATGATATGACTTTTAAGAATAATTTTATTTATGAAAATTCATTATATTTGCATAATATATTGCACAAATTCCACCCTACTGCCCACATGGGAAAAATTAGACAATGTACAGACAGACAGAAACTGATGTGCAAAGCTGACACTGTTTATCAGAGCACTTTATCTTTCTGGGCTTTTTAACGAAGAGTTAAACATGGGAATGTCTCTAATTAAATTTTTCTTCTGCCCCAAAAGTAATATCATTCTTTCTTTTAAACTGTAATGGCCCTCAGCAAAAGTATGATTTCTTATTCTTATTTAACAGACAGTTAAAACAACAAAAATGTTTAGCATTTTACATGAAACCGTTTCCTTTTAGAGTGTTCAAGTAAAAAAATAAAATAAAGAATAATAAATCCACTATTTCACTCCTATTATCCATGTGCACCACTGACAGGTCAAATCTGCTCCCTCTCTAGTCTTGGTGCTGCTAAGAAATTGAGATGCACCGGCCACTGTTTGCTTGTAATAATGTAGAAACGCAGCTAAAGAAAGCAGAATCTGGGACATGATAGGCGATTTAGAAATCCTGGCTGAATGCATTTTTAAGTCGCAAATAGAGGACATGTCCGGGAAAAAGACAATGTATTTTCACCCTAAATAATGAGCTGGATCAGTCTACTTAGTAAAAGGCTTTTTTTTCTGCGTGTACTCTTCTCAAAGTTAAAGTCAGAGCAGGTGTCCAGCGCGTCTCTGTGGGTCTGCAGCAGCAGAGCCCGCGAGTCTGTGGCGGACACTTTTCTCACGCACACAGAACCGGGCCGCTGAGGTAAAGTCTTATGTGTGGGAAGCGCTGGTGTTGAATTATGTACATTGGATGCACCAAGACATGCCATGACAGAATTAAGGCTCGCGCGATGTGTGCTACGTCGCAATTCGGTCCCTTGTGTTGCTTAGCAGCATATACAAAACAATGTAAAGATCGCTTGGCGTGAAGTAAATAAACCAGTAGCGTTAGACATGTATGGAACCAGATTAGTCTCCAAAGAAATTCACGCAAAAGACACGATGTACACGTGTAGCCAAATTCAAATAAATGGTCAAATAAATAAATGAATGAAAAAAAAGTGTGACTGCTGCTTTCTCCGTTCGCCATGCTGGAGAGGAACAGTCTGCGCAAAAGAAGCGCAGAGTTGGTTTCATTGAATACAGCTCTCATCTGATTGGCTGAAAGGTACGAGTTACCCTGACTCTGGCAGGAAAGTCTCAAAAATACACACACACGTATCCAGGGGGAGTCGTACGTGAAAGAGGATTTGCACATTCTCATCCAGGATGAACTCGCAAGTTTTAAACATTCAAAACTTTTTGTACACTTTTACATTTGCAAATGGTGTTTTGCATTTGTGAAACGTATTTTATAAAAAATTTAATTTTATTTTGTGCTCGTGAAATTTTTTTTGTAAATATAAATAAATATTTTATGCACGTGAATTTAGTTTTATGCACGTGAATTTGGCTACGCATGTGTACATCGTGTCTTTTGCGTGAATTTCTTTTGAGACTAATCTGGTTCCATAGACATGTGTTGTTGTTGATAGCGTCAGCGTGTGCTACCATCACAATAGATTTCTATTGACTTTGCTATCAAGCAGTATTGTGATCACGTGGGCTTTGCATGCTGGCTCTGGATGTTGCTAAACAGAATTGCTGTAACGGAGTTTAGAGTGTATCGGACTGCTTTTATCTGAGATTTTTAACGCAGTCCGATATAGTTTTTTGGACTGATATCGGACGAATTTACAGATCGGGACATCTCTAATTGTGACCACAATTTTTGCTTGCATATTTTTCTGTAGTATTCAAAAGCAACTCTTATTATAAAGCACATGTTCATATATAATGAAAAGTTAAGATGTCTAGATGAGTTCAGAGCAGGTCTAACATGATTGGGTAGTTTGGCCATGTGACCATAAACATTTATTTCTTAGTACTGCCATCTGATTAGAAGGATAATGTCAGCTCAGAAATTACAGGTACATTTTCTAAGATAATTTTTAAATAGGCAATACATATTTTGCATGCATCATCATGAAAGGGTTATCTTTTCATACATATTAAAATTATATTATTAATTTTTTTTTTCTGTTGTCAAACTGCTGATAATTAAAGACGGTGGTGTAACACAGGGAATCTATGCCCCCCATAGGTCATTCCATATTTCATAATTTTTTTTTAAATATATATTGTGTGTTTATATATATATATATATATATATATATATATATATATATATATATATATATATATATATATATATATGTGTGTGTGTGTGTGTGTGTGTGTGTGTGTGTGGGATTTTAGAGCGATATTGTAAAGCATCAGGAGCTAAGGTTAATGTTGGAAAAAGTTTGAGCATGAGGGTGGGAAGAGTAAAAGAAATAACACAACATATACCCTTTAAAGAAGAAAAGGAACACAAACATTTTGGGAATTTGGGTGGGGATGGATTCTAATAAAGCAGATATTTTAAATTGGGAGAGAGTTTTAAATGGAATTGAGAAAAGACTGAGATTTTGGAAAGCTAGAATTTGACGATAAAAGGGAAAGTATTCATCTTAAATGCTTTAATGTTGTCAAAGGTCTGGCATGTGTTAGGTGTAACTGCGTTGCCTGAAGTATACTATAAAAAAATTGATGTAGTTTTTGTGGGGAAATAGAAGAGCCAAGATTGCTTATTATACTTTGATTGGTGAGGTAAAAGAAGGAGGTCTGGGACTTTTGGATAGTTTTTTAAAAATGAAAGCATTAACAATTAAGATTATTCAAAGGTTTTTGGAAGGGAAAATGGATGTGATTTGGAAAAGTGTGTTGGATTATTATTTGAAGAAATGTGGACATTTTAATATGGGATGTAATGTTTTATTGATGAAGATGAAGAAACGGATGATAGCAGGTCTGCCAAAATTTTATGTTGAGGTCTTAGAATCATGAGGGGGATTTTTAGAAAATGTGTTGATTATACCAAAAGCAAGGGCGCAGATTCTAGAACAACCACTTTAACTGAATTCAACTATTTTAAGTGAAGGAAATATTTTATATTTTAAGGAATGGTGGGATGGAGGATTAAGACAAGTTAAAGATGTATTATATGAACTAGGATTTGTACCATTACAAGAAATTGTGGATGCTGGGTATAAAAGAGTTGTTAAAGCAAAATTACAAAGACAATGCCATGAGTTGAAAAAAGCAATACCAAAAGATTGGATTGAAATAATTGAAAAAAAAATATGTTGGGCGATGAGGATGAATTACCAGAGACCTATTTTAAGAAGAAAAATGGAGAAAAGATCAATGAGCTTATGTACAGTTAAGAGTTTTTATGCTGTTTTTAGATAAAAGGCTTTTGTAAGACCTATAGCACTCAACTATTGGAAGGAAAGATATGATGATTTAAAAAGAAATATGGCGAAATGTCAAAATGAAATGTATGGAACCAATTTTAGAAAATTTTAATTATTTCTTGGGACATAATTGCATATTAATAAAAATGAGACTGTGTAAAATGGGTATTAAATAAGATATAATGACCCAAAGGTTGGTGATTCAAGCCCACCCACTGACGAATTAGGCACTTTGCTGCCTTGCAACTGCTAACACGTGCACTGGACATAGATCCTGGGCCACCTTCTGTCCAGCGTTACAAGATACAGTTACACACGAGAGGATTATCAGTGCAGCGACACAACAGGACAACTCCTGAGCCTCTCAATGCCTGAGCTGTTCTCATCAGAGCAGTCACACATGGGGAATATAACACAAGCTGTGCTAGACTTCATTAAGAAAGATTAGAGTATATATGGGAAAGCAGTCATTTTATTTTCTACAAATATACATTGAGCTCTATGACACTGATCAAACTGTACAAATATTATTTTCTACACACTCCGGTACAGCAGGTGGCGGCATTCAGCTTTACGCTGCTTTCTGTAACACGCTACACAAGAAGAAGAAGAAGAGGAGAAGGAGGAGGTTATCCGAATATGTGTTTGTTTTGTCTTCTTAGTGTCCAGTGTTTTTCTGCTTCAGGTAAAATCACCCTAGTTAAATGTAACTCTGCACGTGCTTTGATAACCCTGCAGCTGTTTGACTCTTCTCTGCTCTGTTTAGAGTGTTTGTGACGGATGTTTTTCACTGAACTCATGATCTGCCGCTCCTTCAGAAACGAAAGTGAAAGTGTTTAGTTGTTGCGTCGCCATTTTAAACAGACATAATCCACCATTTACAACGCAGAACAGCTTTAAATCTTTAATGTCTTGACAAAACCTGTAAGCTTTATGTGAATGTGTGTATGATGTTATTATAATCAATCGGATGACGCTGTGATTCTTCATTAGTTTACTCGTGATGAGCTTCTGGATTTGAGTGTCTCAGCTGCTGATCTATTCCTGCATTCAGCTGAATTATGAAGGCTGATTGATGACTGGAAATATGTGATTGTTCTTCAGTTTCTTCTAGAGTTTCTGCTGGAGATCAAACTCTTCAGGTCCATCATGGAGGACACACACACACCTGGAGTTCTGTATTTGTTTACAGGATCCAGGTAATAGACCTACACTTGACATTTCATATGATTATTTTCTACAGGATATTATATTTACTCTCTGTTAGTTGTGTTTTTAATCTGTCTGAATATTTAACACACACAGTCAGCAAGATTTTGTACAATATTTATGAAAAGTATGAAGTGCTGTTAAAAAAGTGTTTTAATGATGAAATGTTGAATAAATCTGGTGTGTTGACTCCAGTGTGTGCAGCGCTGAACTTTAATCTTCTCTGTTTTAGTTCAGTTCATCAGAAGAGAGCAGAAGCAGAGCCCAGCTGTGTGTCTATGAAGAGTGACGTGTCTATGGATCCACCAACAAATTTTAAGAGTGAAAACACAGGACCTGCTGTCAGGTAGATCATCTCTTTAATATCTGCAACTGATCAGTATTTTCATAATAAATAAATCAGGTAATTAGTGTTGTGGATCTGTTGGGTTTCAGATGTTAGATGTTGTATCTGAGCTCTGCAGGATAGTGCTTGAAGATCTCCGCTTTACACTTCAGGCCACAATTGATGGTGTTAACAAACCAATCAGCGCTTTATTAATAGTTAGTGAGGTAGAAGGTGGGTTTAGGTTTTGGGTAGGGTTAGGGATCCACAATAAGATCATACTGTATGACTACTAATGAGCAGTTCATATGTTCACATTACACAGATAATAAGCCGGTAGTTAATAGTATGAATTGTGAGCTGAACTAAAGTGTTCCCGATCTCCTGCCATAAAGGGCTTTTCCTGCACATTTTCCCCTGCTGTTTCTGTGCTGTACTGATCAGCCATTCCTCTGATCTGAGTCTGTTTTCACTGAAGCGCAGTCATCATCATGTTGTGTTGGCCTCATAGATGCTGCTGATCAACACATTTGGTTTCTAGAATTGATATTTCTCGAGTTCTCCTGCTCATTCAGTCATGATAGATGATGGTAAATGAACTTGTCTTGCTGTACTCAAAGTCTGGACTGGAGCTCTGCAGACAAACCCCCGATGAGTGACCTTCTGAAGACTGAGTGATGAGGAGGAGGATAAGGGGAGCTGCTGGAGGCGGGAATAACAGTCAGCTGACACAGTGCAGTTTATACTGCTGCTTATATAGTCATGTGATGATGATTGACACGCCTGAATGATTAAGCTCCTCCCACACCTACACTGTGGACTTCATTCAGTGATTTGATGATTAGTTTCAGCTCTAATCTGCTCTAATAGTGCTGCATTTCTGTTGGGCTTTCTCTACTAGAAATGAGCCTTGATCTGTTTTTGCTGATATTTTCACATTCAGACGGTTTTGTTCAAATATAAAGGAAATTAATTTAAGTGTTTTTGTAAATGAAGAATGATTAATATCAGGTTTGTGCAGTGTGTGCAGCGCTCAACTTTAATCTTCTCTGTTTTAGCTCAGTTCATCAGAAGAGAGCAGAAGCAGAGCCCAGCTGTGTGTCTATGAAGAGTGACGCGTCTATGGATCACCCAATAGAATTTAAGAGGGAAAACACACGACCTGCTGTCAGGTAGATCATCTCTACACACACATGATTACACTGCAGCATTTATATGATCCTGTGTTTCTAGAAGGTCAGAAAAAAGGAGTATTACATTTACAGAAGACTTTAAAACTAAATGTCCACACACTCACATCTGATCATTAGTGAAGTACAAATAAAGCATTAATACTCAAACTGTTAGAGTTAGTAGAGTGAGTTTACAGGCTTTTACAATAGTCAGCAAAGTGTGGATAATCAAGAGAAAGATTTTAGACAAGATGAATGAACAAGTTATGTGAGACAAACACACCACACAGTCTTTATTGTAACGGAGGCCAGCGAGTAAGTGCTGTGCAGGTAAACCTCACTCCTCTGACCTCTAAAGCTGCTCTAGTGACAGACGCCAGAGGCCATGGTCTTTAGCCTCCTTGGTAGAGCAACCGACTCCCATGCGGAAGGTCGCCGGTTGGATCCCAGCTCGGAGCAGGTTGGGTGGTGTAGGACCAGCAGTGTTACACTTGTGCTCTCTCACATTTTCATCCTAAAAGATTTTAAATGTCTTCAGTGAGCATCCAGCATCATTGTGAATGAAGGATATCAAATGATTGAAGTGTTACATTTAATAAATGACAAGTACTATTAAATGTTTAAAGCATTTTGAGCAGTAGATGTGATCAGTGTGTGCTGTTTAGTTAAATCTGATTAAATCTGTGTATTGTGTTTTAGCTGGTTCAGAGAAAACACACATGGCTTCACTAGAGGATCTTTACACTCGCACTCATTGATTCTTTGTGTTGTTGTTGTTCCTGCAGTGTGGATGGAGATGATCAGACTGGAGACCTGCAGCAGGGTTCACTCCAATCAGAACATGAAGAACTTCAGAGAGTCAAAGAGCAGCACAAAACCAGCATGAAGAACAAGTATGAGAGATTATTTGAGGGAATCCACCATGGAGAGACTCAAACCCTCCTGAACAGCATCTACACACAGCTCTACATCATAGAAGGAGAGAGTGAAGGAGTGAATGAAGAACATGAGGTTTTACAGATGGAGAAAAGAGCCAGAACAAAACCCTCACAACACACTCCAGTCTACTGCAATGACATCTTTAAAGCCTCAGCTGGAGCAGGACATGAGGAGAAGATCAAGAAGGAGAAAGCCCAGATCAAGACTGTTCTCACTAAAGGCATCGCTGGAATCGGGAAAACCATCTCTGTGCAGAAGTTCATTCTGGACTGGGCCGACGGAAAAGCCAATCAGGATGTAGATTTCATGTTTGTGCTTCCATTTCGAGAGCTGAACTTGATCAGAGATCATCAGTACAGTCTTCACAGACTTCTGCTGGACTTTCATCCTGAACTTGAAGATCTGGAGCCCAAGATTTATGAGCAGTGTAGAGTTGTGTTCATCTTTGATGGTCTGGATGAAAGCAGAATCACACTCAACTTTTCAGATGAGGAGAAAGTTTGTGCTGTGACTGAATCTTCATCAGTGGCTGTGTTGATGTGGAGCCTCCTGAAAGGAGAACTGCTTCCCTCTGCTCTCATCTGGATCACCTCCAGACCAGCAGCAGCCCATCAGATCCCCTCCAGATACATCAAGCGTCTGACAGAAATTCAGGGATTCACTGAGCCTCAGAAGGAGGAATATTTCAGGAAGAGAATCAGCGATGAGCATCAAGCCAGCAGAATCATCTCCCACATCAGAAGAGCAAGAAGCCTCCAGATCATGTGCCACATACCCGTCTTCTGCTGGATCTCCTCCACTGTGCTTCAGAAGCTCCTGGAAGAAGATGTGAGTGCAGAAATCCCTCAAACTCTGACTGAGATGTACATCCACTTCCTGCTGATTCAGATCAACATGAGGAAGCAGAAGTATGAAGAGAGGGATCCAGAGAAACTCCTGCAGTCCAACAGAGGAGTGATCCTCAAACTTGCTGAAGTGGCTTTTAGACAGCTGATGAAGGGCAATGTGATGTTCTATGAGGAGGACCTGATTGAGAGCGGCATAGACGTCACTGATGCCTCAGTGTATTCTGGGATCTGCACTGAGATCTTCAAGGAGGAATTTGTGATTCATCAGAGGAAAGTCTACAGCTTCATCCATCTCAGCTTTCAGGAGTTTCTGGCTGCTTTCTTTGTGTTTTACTGCCATTTAACAGATAAGAGAGAACCACTGAGGGTGATTTTAGAATATTTATATAATCAATATCTACAGTCCAGCTCTGTGAACTCTCTGTATGATCTGCTCAGATCAGCAGTATATAAAGCTGTCTGGAGAAGAAATGGTCATCTGGATCTGTTCCTGCGGTTCCTGCTGGGCGTCTCACTGGAGTCCAATCAGAGACTCTTCCAGGATCTGCTGACACACACAGAGGAGAGCTCAGAGAACATCAGAGAAATCACACAGGACATTAAAGACCAGATCAAGAGAGATGACCATCTCTCAGCTGAAAGATCCATCAATCTGTTCCTCTGTCTGCTGGAGGTGAAAGATCAGACTCTGGCCAGAGAGATTCAGGAGTTTGTGAAATCAGACAAACACTCAGTGAAGTATCTCTCTCCTGCTCACTGCTCCACAATCTCCTACATGATTGAGATGTCAGAGGAGCCGCTGGATGAGTTTGAGCTGCAGAAATTCAACACATCAGCTGAGGGAAGACGGAGACTGATAGCAGCGGTGAGAAACTGCAGAAGAGCTCTGTGAGTATTCATTGATTGATCACAGAAGACACACATCAGTCTGCACTGAAGACTCAGATCAGTTTAGTGAATCACTGCCCTGCTTTAACAGAAAATCTTTAGCTGGCCATATCGTCCCCCTGTGAGATCGCTGATACACCATATTACTGCATGGGGACGCGGCGGCAGTGTTCTGTTTCCTTATTTGCTCATTTATTTCATCATTTCTAAATGTATTTAACAAACTTTTCTTGACTTTTTACTCACACAAACAACATTTGTACTTATTTAATAATCTACTTCATTTGCTTTACAGTTTATCCTGGAAAATAACTCAAATCCCTGTAAAACCCTGTGCTCCTCCAGCTAAATAGGACATTTGTTGATGTGTATTTGCTCAAATCTAACACAGTGTTGCTCTTGGATAATTGTGTTTGTTTTCTGATCAGAGAAATAGTGTAATTTTAGACACAGTATTGCTGTCTAGCCGCAGACATGCCTCTAATATTACATTTACTGTAGGCCTAAACACTAAACTTTACACTGAGCTCAGTAAAATGCTCTCTGATTAGTTATTAATAATCTGTTCAATAATTCAGTACAGTCATATGAATGGAGAAATACAGGTTTAGTGTAGTTTAATGTAGTTTCAATAAATCCGTAAATAAATAAAAAGAAGATATGTTTAAATTAATTAAATAGGCTTGTTCTGAGGCATGAGGGTGGTATGAGGGCCCAATGTCCACAGGTGGGGGTTGCAGCCCAACACCATGGTACAATGCCATGAGGTAGCCTGACTGCCATTAGCTGCATTTCCACTATCGGGCCAGTGCGAGCCAGGGCTTTTATCGGGCCAGGCCAGGCCGATCGCCCAGGAGGTTGAGCAGTGAGGCCAAAATCATGTCGCGTTTCCACTGTCGGGCTAGTAACTCGCAACGCGTCACGCAAACCCCGCTCCCAGAACATTCACCGAATCGAACGTCACTCAATCCACCCACTTCAGTGGGAATCAGGCAAATAAAGCACACCATCACATCATCACGAAACTATTAAAATTACGACAACCAAAACAAACAAATGACACATTACTGTACAGCAGTACAATGTATGTCTATTGACCTTATTCTAAAATGCGGAAGTGCGCCTGTTTTCGCGATTGTCTTAGAACTTCTGATTCAGTCGCCTATAGGAGAAATGACTAGGAATAATAAACGGCAGAAAACGGTCAAACTACTTTCTCTACAAACAAATAATTGCATGACTATACAGACCAAGTAGAATAATATAACAAGAAAATATCAAATTGCAACATCAAGCAGCGTAATGAGCAGTTTTTAATGTCTAAAAATGAATGGAAGTGAATGAGACCAGAAGTCTCGAGCCAAAAAAATTCAAATGGCAGCGCCCACTCGTCGGCGGAGAATACGGTCAATACGCACATGCCTGTGTGTTCTCATTCATCATATTCATTTACTCGCCGACCGACTGTTGGCATCGAAATCCAGTGGTCTTGCCACTAACGGAGGGACCCAGTGCAGGGAGCGCACACATCCATAATATAACACCACATATATAAAATTCTTCGTTAATAACTCGATATAAAATGTATTTTTAAGATCCTCAGTTAGACAGACGCTGTCCAACATTCAGCCCAAATTCTCCAGAGAGAACTGAAACATGAACTTTTCCCTATAGGCTTTATGACACTAAGTTAGGTGATTCCCTTTATTTAAAGATGTTGCTTATTATATCTTAAGTAAAGGAAAGTGTTCAGTGTTTCAGCACATAAGAGCAGCACATCATAAAATATAGCCTATATTTCTTTGCACTCAGCAGCTATACACTAATAAAGCTCTTTATGTATTTAAAATGTCCTTTTTTAATTTTACCACGTCATATAAAAACATACACACTTGTTTGAGGACACAGAACACATTTTGAACTTGCAGTTTTCCCCAATGCGTCTGTAAAGTGCTGCGCAGCTGCAGACAGAAAAAAAGGTCGGCTAGTTTCTGCTTTCACTCACCCAGAAAATGCTGTTTGCATGATTTGATTAATATCATCATATCCAAATACTTTATAAATACTATTTAAATCATTGTCCGGTGTTTATTGTTTTTAAAAAAAATCTAAAATTCTTTTTTTCAAAGAGGCTTTGAAAAATAAAAGTTTAATATGGTTTTAAAACAGTTTGATATAGTACCTAATTGTTATAGCTATAGCTTTTGTTAGTTTTATATTGGTTTATTTATTTAATGTGATTTTATTATAACTGATATTTGTAATTCTTTAAATTATTTCAATATAGGGCTATTTTATCTAGATATGACACTATTGTTTTTTAGCCTACAAAAGTGGACAAAATTTTTTTAAAGTTTAATGTTTTTCTGTTGTTCATATAGTGTATTATCTCCAAAATAAATAAAAATAATAAAAATAAAAGAAAACAGCCGCTCGCGGCATCAACAGAGCTATGAAGGGAGCGCTCTTTTCCTCGACCTCACACACACATACAGGCATCTAAACGCGCACAAACACACCTTTTAAACTTGACAAAAACTCTCGAAAACCTTTACTGTCTGCTATGTCTTTAATATGGTGTAAAGATTATTAGGCGTTATTGAAACATCAAGGAGGACGCAGCAAAGAAAAGTAACTTATAAATTAAAACTACTTTACTATTTTAAGGGCGATCATATGCAAAAAAAGACCCCAGCCTATAATTTATTCTAGATGTTTTCTTTCCCATATTTATTTATTTGTTATGTGTTTGGTGCATGTACTCATGTGCGATCGGAAAACTGTGCCCGCCTCTCCTTTCACTCCGCCCTGAAGCTTCGGCTGGCCCTCTTTGGCCCAAGGTATTCGGCGGGCCGAAAAAGGCTGGCCGCTAGCCCCAAGAAAGCCCTGATTTGGCCCGATTAGGCCCCGGAAGAGACAGTGGAATCGCGACTGGCCTTGGCTCGCCCTGGCTCGCTCGCTTTAGGCGCGATAGTGGAAACGCGGCTATTAGGTACTGAGATGAGATCTTCAGACCCCTTGTGAGACCAAATACTGGTGTGGTTGCAGGTGCGTATACATAAGTGTGTGGCCCTGGATTCCTCCTAATGCAAGGCAATGCTGGACCTCTTGTGTCTGGAGTGTGTCAGCAATTCCTGCAATTCACTACAGTTTTGAGTGTGACTCCAAATCCAGTCCTCCATGGGTTAATAGTTCATTTTATTTCCAGTGATCATGTCTGTGTGATTTTGTTGTCAGCACATTCTACTGTGTGAAGAACAAAGTACTTAATAAGAATATTTCAGTCATTCAGATCTAGGATGTGTTATTTTAGTGTTCCCTTTATTGTTTGAGCAGTATATATATATAGTTTATTTTCAGTGTTACTTTAATCACTGTAGACTGAACTCATGAACACTCAGCAGTGCTCATTTCTCACTGCTGATTTTGTTGCTGTTTGTCCTCTACACAGGCTACAGGGCTGTAAACTCACTGTTCAGTGCTGTGAGAGCTTGTCTTCAGCTCTACAATTCTCGAACTGTGTGCTGAGAAAGCTGGACATGAGTAACAATGACCTACAGGATTCAGGAGTGAAGCTTCTCTCTGATGGACTGAAGAGTCAACACTGTAAACTGGACACACTGAGGTAAATTAAAAACATGTCCATCAAATAAATGCTGCCACAAATGACTTTTCAATTGTGAAATGCAGTGAAGTCTGATGAGGTAATGAGCATATGCTGTGATGTATTTTATTTCTGTTTATTTATTGTGAATATTTCATATTTAATGTGAAGTCAAATATGAGAAACCCTGTTTATATCAGATATAATATTGCTCTTTAGTGTCATTTCTGCTGAAATGATCATTGATTGGTGTTCTTTGGTGTTTTTGGGGCGTCTCTAAATGAGCTGTGTTTCTGCAGATGTTCAGCCCATCACTGAGTCTCTTTATTTACTGATGTTAATGTGTGTAAAGTTATATTCAGTCAGTTTTATAATAATTTCAGGAATATTATTGACTAATATGAAGATGTTGATGTGATTTATTTACAATACAGTTTGTAAAGTCATATTTTCTGTCTGTTAATATTTTATGAGAGACTTGCTTTGTTTAACAAATATGAGGATCTGAATGGATTTGCTTTGTAAACATTAAATAATAGTTAAAAAGTTTTATTTTATTTTATACAATAAGTTTTTAGTTATGATTGTTACTTTTTTAAATCATTCTGCTTAAATCTGCAGATTTTTATTTTTTTACAAAATTCCTCTCAGAAATAGCAAATAAATCTGTCTGGCTGACTCATTTTGGTCCAGAGATCTTCTCCTTAAAAAAGTTTATGTAATAATGAAATACAAATGTTTGATCTTCCTCCATGTGACCATTAAAGCAACTCTGAAGAGTTAAAGGAGTCTTTTCCTTTCCCTATGAGGAGAAATCACTCATTATAGACACTTCAATAATTACATCACACTCACACACAATAATACAGTGTCTTTTACTGTCCTCTACACAGACTACAGCGCTGTAAACTCACTGTTCAGTGCTGTGAGAGTTTGTCTTCAGCTCTACAATCCTCAAACTGTGTCCTGAAAGAGCTGGACCTGAGTAACAATGACCTGCAGGATTCAGGAGTGAAGCTTCTTTCTGATGGACTGAAGAGTCAACACTGTAAACTGGAGACACTGAGGTAAATGATTCTCCACTCAACAGATACAGTTTCATATTTGGTTAACAAAATGTGGAGCCCTGATGTAAAAGGTTAAAAAAGTGTTTTCATTAAGATGGAAATGTCCAGATATATTTAAGAGCATTAGTGGAGAAACTGCAAAATGCTGCTTCTCAAATGAATTGTTTTTTCTTAAACAGTTCAGGAAATCAGTGTATTTTAATGATTATTTTAATTAATTACTTCTAAATCTTTATTTATATTTTATATTTTAATGATCATATTTATAGTTTGTCTGTGAATTGGTTTATTGGAGCAGGTTTGACAGGCTCTGATCATTTGCATTTTGCAGGT